TTTTTCAATCTGGCTGAGTATCTCTGCGTAGTGTTCTGCTGCCCACTGTGCCTTATAGATGACCTGCACAATGTGAATGCACAGCCTAGCAAACTTAACACTGGCTGAAAACTTTCTTGTTGAACTAAAGTGGAGTTTTCATTGAGATTTATTTTGGCTTCATGCTGGTTCATCCACTGTATTTCCAGTTCAGGACTTTTTTTTTTTTTTTTTTTTTTTTTTTTTCATAACTTTTTATCAATTACTATTTTTGCACTTTAGAGTCAGTAAGGTATATTTGTTTAACAACAGCTGGATAATTGGATTCAAAGCCCCAACAGGTTTAGAATTTTATTACCTGTTTTCTGGTTCTTGGATTGTTGATTAATAAAAGAACCTTTCATTTCAACTTCCATTTGAAAACTTCATGGACAGTGTCTTACACTCCACACAGTTTAGGTGCTTTTTTTCCAAACGTAAGGCATCATAAGTAGTTCTCCATCATAACTTTCACAGGAAAACTGGAAGAAACTTGATTATTTTACATAGGACTGTAGCCATTAGCCTACTTTTAGGAGGCTGATCACTCTTTCTTGAAAGGTTTTGTTAGGTTTACGTGTTGAAGCATGGGCAATATCCTCTTGACAGGTACAATTACCAGGAGACCTCCAACTTTGATGTCCAGATAAGCCTAAGAGAAAGTGGCCCCTGCAATGCTTGGGAATCAAAATGCAGCACACAGATAACTCAAGAGTTGTGCCTTAAGTCTCAACGCTCTTCTTTTATTCCTTTAATACTTTCTAACAGAGAGAGGAACATGTTCATAATTCTTACCTGTGGCAACTAGAAATGCTGAATGAGATCCATTCAACTCGCCTTTCAATAGCTATTATTCCTGTGGAGAAGGGGAGGGGGTTCTACGTTTGCTTAGCTGTAGACATTTATCTCAGCATGCATGATCTTTAATTCAACAGTGATCTGGATTGTTAAGAGACCTTTCCTATAGTTGAACAAAAATCTACAAGCCACGTTAAATGAACCTAAAACATCCTGTTGTTTCCTGTTAGCTAAAGATACAGAAGCACTGGAAAGCTCTCAAAGTGTAAGTGCTGAGGTGAAGCTCAACTTTTATATGTTTTTAACCTTCGACTCCCTTTAATAACTTAATCTGAAAGACCAACTGAGGAAGCGCTGAATGTATATAAAGTTCATTATGGCCATTTAGTACCAGAGTACAAAGTCATTCTGCATATGTCTAGAAAATTAATGTACCCGATGCTTTTATGTAATAAATTCTACTTAGAAGTTCTATGGATTATTTTTCAATCTGAAGTACAAAGCTAGTTGCCCTAATATAAAGACTAGTTCCAGAAGGCTTACAATAGCTTGCTGTGCAGAGACATTTAAACTAAAAGCTCGGATTTCTATTCACACATTCATTAATCATTTCCTTTGCATTACTGCTTTTTTTCAGTCTGTCAGAATGCTGTCCTTATACAGAAGTAGCCAAAATTTTCTTTATCACCGTGAGAAGAGGGAATGCACAGGAACCTTTACTGTCCGTAACTTCCCACAATTTCTGCTCAAGTGTTATGCATAACCTTAGCACCCAAGTATGCCTTCGAAAGCTCTGTGCTTCTGTAAGAAGGAATTCAGATGACAAGGTGGTGCATTCTTTTCTATGAAATGGTTTTATAATACCACTGAGCTCGCTTTACATCATTTTAATAAGCACAACTTTCAAGGATATTCCGTGGCTCCACATGAGGGCTAATACTGCTGTGGGGTACAGTACCTTGGAAAAAATAAAAGTTCTTGATAAGTAATTAAGTTGCTTATTAATTACAAGCAGAATGGAAGCTTTCATCCTTTTTATTCTGTCTATGATAACTATGCAGTGTGGGCTTTCTGGACTCAAGACCTGTTTCAGGGAGAAGCAGTTCACGTATTATTCTGCTTTGTTTATTTACAGTTACTTATTTCTTTTCATATAATTTATGTCACTTAATCTCTTAAGGTACATTTCTCTTTGAAAGAGAAAACTATTTGGCCAAATACAAATTCTCAAGCCAAATAAACAGCTCTTCAAGGTATTTCTGTAGGACTGGTAGAAGAGAATTTGCTTTACAGGGTTGTATGGACAGCTGTTGCAACATTTGTGATGATGTATGAACTTTTGGAAGTTCAGATATGAAGGTAACCATTTATGGAAGGATTATTCCACATGAATAAACATTTACATTATAATAGGAAAGGACGTGCCAAGCTATTCACAAGAGGCTTACAGTCTTGAAATGATAAATTTAACGTTTTCATGAGAAATGGGGATAATGTAAAAGAAGTTGCACTGAAATATGCCAGAAGACATTAGAATTTATTCTGAAAGCATTCTAAATCTGCTCACAAATAGTTACCTGTGGTATCTTGAAAAACAAGAACTAATGCGTTTCTGTACACAGATACAGTTCTTAATACAGTTCTTACTGAATTTCTGTGAATTCCATAAAACTCAATATGTAAAACCATATGGCTTTTCTAATCTACCAAGGAAATAGGACATCCTAAGCTCAAAGTAATCCCACTGCAAATGGCAGTCACAGCAGCCTTAATTTTTATGGTAATTGTTTACTTCTAGGCAACTTTTTTTGCAGTTGAAATAGCAAGCAAAAGCAGCATCTTGTATTTTAAGGATTTCTCCTTCTGCTTCTAGAAGCAGCAAACTGATTTATCTTATACTACTGTCTTTATTTCCGTTTCTTTCGTATGCTGTATCTCCATGGAACTCATATGTCCAGGTGTTAAACTCCTTATTACTGTAACAACCAACTGGAGTAACTTTTTCTCATTTAGGATGGAGAGTTGATCTCTGGATTTAGTTGTGCACTCTTCTTTGCAGTGAAGGAGATAGATTTTTCACTTTGGAGATGTGTTAAAGACCAGAACATTTCAGGTTAATGTATGATAAAATTTTTGGTCCTGATACCTGTATTTTTCAGGACAGTAGGTCTACCATAGGTTTATAAAAAGAAAACTCCATGCAGAAGGCTGTAGTCATGAAATCATTTCATCTGCACAGAGAACAGCCGTTAGTTGTCTCCGTTGGTCACGTATACATGTGCTATATTGTATTAATGGAAACGTCTGCCTGTTTCAGGACTTCCCCAGGATGGTTTTGGATGTCTTCTTACACATATATGTAAAATAAAATTTCTAAAAAGTGCCCTCAAATTTAAAGGTTGAAAATTGTAGTCTTATGGAGAATGTTGTAAAATACAGCCGGTAGCTGGCCCATTATGACAACTTGGAATATGCATGCACAGTCTTCGTATGTAACCTAGATAACCTAGTGGCCAAAGTGGGATTAACGGCATGCAAGTCTTACACTCCAAATTCTAATCTTTCTCAACAAGTTGACTGCTCTTCTGTTGTAGGTGTTTAACAGTTAGAGGCGATTTTCTCTAACAAGCTCTCCTTAGAGTGTCCCTCGCTGGTTCTTGACTGAAGCAAATAAAGTTTGTCTTTTAACTGACTTTAGTAAACTTTGATTTGTGGCGTATTTCTGTTAACAAATTTGTCTTCTGTTGTGTCATTCTTTCAAATGAAATTAAAATGACAGATTTCTAGTCTGTGCAGTCAGTCAAGTGAAGAGTCATGGAGATTCTTTAATAAAATCCATTTATTGTTTCACCTCTGAGTTACTGGGAAAAAAATAATTTCTGTAAGTGCCCCGATAGTTAAAGCTAATGTCTGAAAATACTGAGCCCACAAGAAAAGTTAGTTCCACATCATTAAGTATAACCATGATGTGAATTTCACCACTCCTTCCACAGGTGTTTTCCATTAGAATATGTCTGCTCCATTCAGACCTATTTTAAGTAAATTCACAAGGAAATGCCTCTTTACATGTTTATCCTGGAAGGGCAGATAGGTGTTTTATTTTATAAAGCAGTCTAGAAGTTTTCTATTCTATTCTTCAAATGAAAAAATATTTTTCAGAACATAGTATTGCAGTTTGGTAATGTGTTTCTAGCTGCCATTAGAGACACTTATAATTAAAACATAATAAAATTCATGAAACAGAAATGCCCGTTTCTTAGAAATGCTGGTGAAAGGGCTGTTTGCCTGCATAAGTGTTTGTGTTGAAAATTTTATGTTTGTTATGTACGCTTTTATTTAAGTAAAACTCTACTCTTACACTTTCGTTATGGTGATCTTGTGAAATATTATTATGTATTGATACTGTAAGGTTATAATATATCGTCTCTTAAATAACCTATAAAAATGTGTACTGACTTGATAGCAATTATCTCATGACAAATACCCAACATAAATAATTTCCAGTAATAATTTTTAGTTTTGGAAAACAGCTTAACTCTTACAGACAAACCCCACATCTTTGAAATGCTTTACTTGGTTTAGTGAAAAACAGATGAATGGGTTGTGATCAAGAACAGTGACGGGTTATACATCTACATATAGATTACCTGGTCACTTCAGTGTTCATTTTCCCCCTGAAAAAATTATTCTGATTGCAAGAAAATTATAAGAAAGCAGCATTCTCTTTTGCTCTCATTTCCTGACTTTCAAAGTTCATGGTACCACAAACTGTTGCAAAAATTACATTTGCCTTCTGCCCTCTATTCATATAACTGGGAAGTAGTACAAACATATTTTAAATTTTGCAGCTATTTAAATGAACTGTTTAAAGTGTGGTGTTGCTTAGACTGTCTTTATGATTTTATGAGCATTGTTTTTATATAGTGATTTTTTTTTTCAACTTCTTTCATAATACCCTTCAGACTGAGAGGAAGTATTAGATAATCAATAAGCTAAACATTTCTTATTATTGTAATTTTTTCATATATTAAATCAATTAAAGAAGCGCTGTATATGTCATTGAACTGAATCTGTATTTTAAATCATGTTGTAAGCAACTGACAAACTTGAAGTGTCTCGGATTAATTCATTTTGTCTGTTTTATTAACAGACTGTGGTTACAATAATATCATTTCTCCCAATAGCATCAGCGACTTCTTGACATTTTGGAAGCAGAGAAGGAAGTGTTGTCAGAAAAGATAGAAGAAGCTTTGATGCAGCAGTCACAAAAACACAAGGTAATGCTTTTATTTACCAAAAAAAAAAAAAATCTTATCTTCACCATGGAGTTCCTTAGGAACGATCCTGTCACAATTATTGACATGAAGAGCACTTTGTTCGAAATTATTTTTAGCCACTCCTTTGTGGTATATTACAGTTTAATTTTTCATAACATTTACAGGAAGTGCTCGACAAGTGTTTGGATGAAGAAAGACAAAGAAGTAAGGAGGCTGTGGCAGCTGCTGCAAAGGTATCTCTTGTGAAGCAGTAGACATGCAATGTGGATGCTGCGTGTGTCGTTACAAATGCCACATTCATCAACTCGTGTCATAACTAAATTTGTCAAAACTCTGTGTTCTCATCTGTGTTTAAAAGAAGCTAGTTAGAGGAATCATGAACACGTTTGCTATATCCTGTGCCTTAATACAGATAACTTCTATCTAAGATAGCCTCTGAATTAGGTAAGTCACAGTATTGCAGTTCAGTTGTTAGTGTTACCTAAATACCTGGCTCTGTGGTCTTTCAGTTAACAACATCAGTATGTCTTGATTTGAAAAGTTAGATAGCAGGGTCAGCGGATGTCATCTTAATAAGACAATTAACGTGGTGTCTTATTTAACTTCTGTTAAATATGGTCATTTTCAATGAGGACAGAACTTTTTTATAAATTGTATAAAAATGTGGACATTTTAACACATTTTTGAATTATATTATTTAAGTGGGTTTTGACTGAAAGTGAGTATTCGCTTTTTAAAATATGATTTCTTCTATTTCATTATTAAGTGCATTGGGGTTAGGGCAGTAATTTTATAAATGTTATGCTGTCTTTCATTTCTAACACTGAGGTAGAATCCAGTACAAAACTTCTGTTGCATGTAATGATCTGGGAAAACTGGTGATGTAAGTTACCTAGCACAGCTGGTTAGGCTAAGTTATCAGTTCCTGCATATCTTCCTATGGAGTATATGCACACTAGCTGAGCACCTCTGAGTGACATTCAGTAACACAAGAAACGTGTGTTCCATGGTTGATATCTAGGGGAAAATGTGTTTATAATAAAATATGTTAATTTAATAGGGCATTTTTTTAAAACTTACATTTTTATTATATTTTATGAATGTCTAAATAAAAACAAGTCGTGGTGAATGACAAATAACGGCTATATGAGTGCAGGTATTTGAGGAACCCAGTATTTTTTTGCCCCTTGTAACTTTACTTGACCGTAATCAAGTAAAGTTACAAAGGGCATTGGAATGCCCTGTAACCTTAAAATGCCTCAAATTCCATAATCACCACCAAAGGGCATTGGAATGACTTGTAACCTTAATAAAATTCAGGGGGGTGTGGGTGTGTTTTGTCAGCCCGTGTTTGTTTATTTTGAACTTCAACCTGCTATTATTTATTTGTCGATACTACACAATGATTGACTTGCTGATAAATATATTTGCGTGGCTCGGCATGTGTAGAGCTGTCCCTGATACTTCAAATTCAGTGTGTGTTTTCTGATGATTTCATGTAATGGTTGAATATAAATATTGAAAAAAATAAAATTAAATGAACCAATACCTCTTGCAGAATGCATAGCTAGGGAGCTTTGGGAGGGAAGACACGTTTGTTTTAAGTAGATATTGACTACTTTGCCACAGAAATCTCTCAAACTGTTTTTGGACTTTAGATACGAGCAGAAATAGCTCATATATGGGAATATCAAGCAGTGTAGGGATGCCCATGATGTACCTACTCTTACGTGGTTTCTGCTGCATGTTTTTTGTGTTGACATTAAGCAACCTAGTTATGATATATTTTGTTTTCAGTAGGTGGGAATTCAACATCCTTGCTTATTACTTCTTTTTTCTTTGTCCAATAGTAATACCTGCTTGGTAACACCTTAAGATAAATTTAAGTTTATAGTTCAGAAGTGAATATTTTCACTTTCCATATCTTGTTAGCTCAAAGATCTCATTAGAAGAAGTAATATATATGAGTTAGGCACCCATGCTGGATATTTTGGTCATTTATTTGTGCTTGATTTGTTTCAAAGGCTGAAAAAGAAGTTGTGCAGGAGGCTGTTCTGAAAGCAGTAGAGGAGGAGAGGAGAAATATGGAGAAGATACATGCAGAAGAAAGAAAAATGTGGGAGGCGGAATGTGACAGACATAAAGAGAAGATTGCCCAGGCTGTTTGGGAAGCCATGCAAGAGCAAAGAAAGCATAATCAAGTTAGTATATATGACTATGCCGTGGACCTGCTTTGTGTATTTTATTTTTAATTTTGAATGTCTTCCAAACGTTGTGGTAGATTTTCTTATGATATCTATCATTCATCAGTGCACCTAGTTGATATTTGCAGTGCACAGCAATCTTGTTGGTTTATCTTCATTTAGACTGTATATGGTGAGAAGCTGGCACATACAGAACAAAATTTCTGCAAGCTTTTCAGGTGTATATATTGAAATGAGATGGGTCATGCCCTGCAAGTGCCTGTTTGTCCACTGACTTCAAAAGGAGCCTGAGATGATTAGCTCAGATTGTGGCAGTCATGTTGTAGACAGTTTATAAGACTTTTTCATACCTCTGGAAAAGATGTTACATTTGTTCCTTATTCTGCTGGAATTCCATTATCTCTCTTAGTAAAAAGATATTTTTCAAAGACAAAAATTAGACAAATATTAGACAAATTAGACAAAATAAAGGGTTATAAAATTTGAAACCGAAACCATTGATGAACCAGAAATGTTTCTAGAGTTACCTTTTTAGAGAAGTGCTTCTATAAGGATAATTGTATGTCACTTAACACAAACCGAGAGGGACATTCCCTCATTGCTTTTAGCAGTTGAAGGAATTACAAATTAAACATGTTCTAGTAGCAGTTAAATTACTGTTCCAAAAGTTGAATGTTGTAGTCTCTGATGCTAGAAATATTTGGGGGACAGCCTGTGAATTCATTGATTTCTTGGTGGGCATACTTGAATGTTGTAATCTGAAGAATTTCAAACAAGGTATGTTTCATTCAGGTGTTGGAATTTGATATTACTGTATGGTTTTTATATCCTGAATAGCAACAACAACAAAAAAAGACCTTTAGAATTTAAAGTAAAATAGGAGTAAAATAGCAGAAGTAAAATCACAGAAGTTTAAAAATCACAGTAAAAAAATAGGAGTAAAATCACAGAAGTTTAAAAATCACCGCTTTGGAAACAGACCTCATTTCCTTTTCCAGTGATAAACAGAATGATTAACCTCATACAAAATCAACTGCACAAAAATTTGGGGTTTGATGCTAAGCTATTATTATTCCCTGTGTTGCTTATATTTCTAAAGCAGAACTATTTTACTTTGTATTATGTAGCTTCTTTGCTTCTTTTGCATGTAAAAATTTCAAGTGGCAAGATGACAGTTTTCAAAACTGTAATTTTACTATAGAAATAAGCCTTCAGGCACCCAACCTTTCCTTTACAACAAATGGATAAGCAGCCGACTTCAAAGTGAAATTCAAGCTGAGAACAATTGCCCAGGGTTTAGTTAGGTACAAATCATTTAGGCTGTTGTGGATTAGAATTGGTACCAGGGGTGTAGAGAACCTATTGATAGAAGGGAGAGAAATAAAGAAAAAGACAGCAATTTTACAGCTTGTGGAACATGAAGAGATTAATAGGAGGATGAATGTGGTAATGAAATTTGTGGAGAGTTTTGATGAATCCTGAGGATTTTTGGTGAAGGACTCTGGTAGCTGGAGGTATGCATGAGGTTGGCCAGGGTTCTGTATTTATGGGTTTGGGGAGCATGTAAAATGTCCCAGGGGTGGGAGAGTGGTCGATTAAGTTGACGTAGTGACTCAGAGTAGGTTTGCCTTCCTTGTGGAGTGTACTGCCAGAGGGGTTTTTTGGTGGTGGTATTGCTGATGATGTTGTCACAAGACAGGATAACATTAAAAGTTCAGTATTAACGGATGTATTCTTAGAGAGAAAAGTCTTAAATATCCTGAGATGTCAGTGCTTTTCTGAGGAAGAAATTCAAGTTTTTCAGCTCAAGCTGCTAGTTAATCCACTAGTTGATAGTGTTGGAATATCTGGTGGTGTGCTTGTGACAATGAACAGCACTGACATCTCAGTGTATTTTATATATTTTTATATATTAATATATATTTATATTGTAATAAATTCTCCTGTAAATATCTTGCTCTTGCTGTAGCCGTGTGGCATTAGTTAATTCCATCATTTTAAAAAATTGATACCTCTGAGAACTTTGATAGTAACAGGGATAATTTATCTTATTCAGTTATAATGTCTCCTTTGAGTTAGGTTGATTTTTTCAAATACGTAATCTAACTTCAGTTAAGGAAAATGCAGATTTTTTTTCTTGAGATTTCCAAAATTCTCTCACCTAAATGTATAGCATATTTGAAGTTACATTCTTTATTCTCGGATTAACAATTACAAATTCTTTGGGGAGGATGAACTTTGATGTAGAAATTTGTTTCTTGCAGAAATTGTCACTTGTGACCTCTGCCAAGAACTCGCCTGCCTCCTTTAGGGCATTGCTATTACAGACATACAACAGGTCGTAAAATGACAACAAAAGTCCTGCAGAGCTAATGTGCCAGCTGATAGCTGATGTAGGGTGTCAGGTGTGGCTTTGGTTTAGCAATGAAGAACACTTGGGACTACAGGCGGTTTGTGTGTGGACATTAATTTTTCAGGGTATAGCCTTCCACTCCCTTATTTCTTATTTATGTTTTTCTTACTGTAAGGTTTCTCGTTCAAGAGCTATAACTGCACTATTGACTTTCTTTCAATATTGTTTAGACAATCCGTCAAGTCAGCTCTGTAATGGCCAAAAGTAAAACATACAGTCTAACATTTCTAGACAATGAAATGTAAAATTGTGGCCATGTAACACTTGCCTCATTTAATTCTTTATGCTGTGCTGTATAATTCTTTATGCTTCCTGCTTCAAAATTGTCACCCGATACTATTATTATGTTGAGTACCAAGTAATGAAACAACTGAGTGTAGTTGAATATAAGTGAATATGTAAAATAATCGTTTGGTATCAGACATATAAAAAGAGCTTTAAGAGCAGTACTGTTATTTCAAGAAAGAAAACCTTCTGACTAATGCATGATTTTGGAACTTAATACTCAAAAAGAGAAGCCTGACTTGTTTTTAACAAAATCTGTCTTCTCTTAGTTTGTCTTCATTTTATCAGCGTTTATTATCTGTGTGAGAGTAAGAAAAGATATTTTTGTATTTACTTCTCTTTTTCTTTTTTATTCTTGTATCACACTAGTAATTGTCGTAGAAACCTAGATTAAAAATTAATTTTATTCTGCTGTAAATTAATTTGAAGAGATTTGCTTTACTGATTTGAACTAAATTTAGTATTAAAGAGAAGGAATTTTCCTTCACTAATACTTTAAGTCTGAAAAATTGAAAGATCAGAAAGTGTCAATGTAGCCTTCTGCAAATAAGTGAGGCAGAATGGTTTACAGTCATGGTACCCATAAGTAACTCTAGGAATAATTAATGGGAAAATTTGAAGACATTCAATATTTTACAGTCTTGTTTGAGATTATTTAAACCACACAGATTTTAAATTTATTTTGGTCTGTGTCAGAGTTGAATAAAAACAAACCAGAAGAAATTGCGACCCCAAATTTAACAACCAAACAGGACCTGAAGAGAATTGTGACTCGGGTAGTAGAAGCTAGAGTACAGTGTCAGCAGACGCTGAGAATCATAACCAAGAACCTACAATCCTGGCCTTAAGAAAAAGAATTTCTGCCAAATGGATGGAAATTAAGAGCAGAGAAGATGCACATCAATGTAAAACACTGAAAAGTAAAACTAAATGAAACGTTAGGGAAAAGGACGCTATCGTGTGCATGGGGCAAGAGTTGAGTAAACTAGAGGGGAAAGACATATTTTAAAAACTGCAGCACCACTGTGTATCTGCAAAACATTTAAATGCTGAAAATTGGGGAAAATAAAGTTCTGTGTTATAATGGTATGAATTTGTTGACTTCTCCTTTGCCTTCTAGACCAGAAAATATGTTCAGGAGTTGTGATTCTTTGTTTTAAAGGAGGAATTTACTACCCACTAATTTTCTTTATAAAATATTACATTTTTTTTCACCAGTTTGTAAACACATACACTAGGAGAACCTTGTAAAACTTGGTTATAAATGAGAAAGCAAACAGAAAAAACCTTAAAGCATGCTAGTTAACGTTTCTTTGATCAGGCAATTTTAGCATGAGAACAGCAAAGCTTTGCAAATCACAGTTCTGCTGAATCAGGTGGTGATGTTTCCCTTCATCTTCTAAATAATCTGTTTAAAAGAAGAAAAGATGAGTGTTTGCTGTGCAGGGATGATACAGTTATTATTTTAAACTTTTTTTTAGTTGCAGAGTGGCCAGCAAGGAGAGCCAAGAGTGGATGCAAATCTGGAATATTTATGCATATTGCTTCTACTTGTTGGATATTCATGCCTGACAAAACTTTGTCCTAAAAAATTGTTCTCAGCCAGATAAATTTTGAGTCTGCAGATAAGGAGGTGCTACTTCCATATCAGATTTCATTAATTTAATATTTCCGGAGAAAACTCTGGGGACTTGAGGACAGTTTAATAAATAACTCAGGATTAATATCAAAATATATTGTTACCAAATATGGAATAGCAGAGTAAAGTGAAACTTAGAGTGAAGGTAGGAACCAAGACATGCTGAGTTAACATTTTGGCTTGATGGAACAACCTTGATATACCCCCTTCTCCTTTTTTTTTTTTTTTTTTTTTTAAAAAATTAAAGGATTAAAATAACACAGATATTGCATTTCCTTTCATGAAAGCTTTGACTGTCCAATGACTTGGGGTGTTTACTTTGAGACATGGGATTTTTAACTAAGTTGAATGTATTATTATTCTCTGAAGCCTTATAACTCTGAAGGGATAAATGAGATTACGTCACCAAGGAAATTTTTTTCTAGAGCGCTGTCTCAAGAGGCTGTAAGGTATTAGACATCCAAAAGACTTTCCTTTTTGTGGAGACTGGCAGCATTTTCAGATTTTATACATGTGCTATCGGGCTGCTTAGTGCTTTTTTAAAGAGATGGCATTTGTTTTGTTTTGTTTATTTTTTAATTCAGAGGAGGATTCTTAATTTTTGAGGAGGATGCACTTGCATTTTAAATCAGGGACATAAACTCTCCTTGAAAGAAATGA